ATATATATATATATATATGTATTCATATTTCACATTTAGTGATGATAAGCTTGACGATGCTTGCATGCAGCCAGCAACAATTCAAGGAAATGCAAGGGCCAGACAACACTCGACGAAAAATGGTGAGTGTTGAAATCTGTATTCTCTATAATACAGTATGATGGAAACACATCATACTGTATTATAGAGAATACAGATTTACGAAGAGTATTGAGTTTTCATTCATAATGTGGTTTCTTTCATTTTTGAAAATTAATTTTCTCTTTTTTGTAATTAAATTATAAATTAACTTCGGTAACAAAAGCAGCCGTAAATTATATACAGTTACAGTCGCATTCATCCGAACAAGAAACATGCGTAAAGAAAATAGTACTAAGTCAGCAGCCACGTCGACATGTTTGATCCATGTTTATAGTTGGTCCATATTTACATCTTCCAGCAAAAACAATACTGGGGAGCCATAATTAACATCCATATTGAAATCAAAGAATAAAAAATTAGTTAAAGTCCTATTGCCACCCAAATTACTGGCGTACTGGCATCTCATTCCCATCACTGGCCTAGCTTGTGGCATTGCTCATATGAAGGCAGTCCCGGTACTCTGCGATCTTTGCATTATTGACATCCATAACGATGTCAACCAACAACTTATGACGCACAGAGGGAGCGAACTTTGTCCACAAAAATCGTAAGACAAATCAGTTAAAATTGGAGGACGTACGAGGAAGGATTTGATTGACAAATGGAAATTAAGCGGTAGAATGTACCTTGTGTGGACCGGGGCTTAAATCAGGTTGCTGCATGAATTTGATGACGAACATCCCACAGTCAAACGTGCTACAAAAATAATTTCACATTAAAGTTGTCGTCAATACGTAATAGGTTCATTAAGTCAGTCATGCAGCTTAGACATTAATGTGAGGGAGGGATTGTGGATTACTCGTCCAGTTGTTGTACTGGCCTCTCGTCTAACATGCAGCGGTGGAAGGTACGCACGTCTGTAACATAATCATTTCCAAAGTGTAGTTGCAGCAAGTCGTGCATAGTTTCAACCTGTTCCACAAGGTTGAAGTTGGTTTACGTAAAGGATGTTCAAGTTTTTTGTAGTGTTCAGAAATGCACCAGAAGGACATACCAAAATTTTAGCTGCATTTAGCTTCCTTTTGTTCGGTCGGTTGGATGGGACTGAGTCGAATAGGTAGGCTACACGGTCCACCATATCAATTTTAACGCACAACCAATGCACTCCTCTGTAATTGAAAGGCATGTAAATCTACACGAAAACACAACGGCAGACCTTGTTTAGAGGCCATGCAAACATGTAATGGCTTTCATATTTTCGTTTTAATATAACGGGATGAACATTGATATTACCCTCTGGCATGCATCAATCGCACCAGTGTATCTGTCATGTCTGAAAAATGATGTGACGATATGTTCATGGTGCAGAGGTTGCATATCTTTATTTAGAATCATAGTCTGCATGTGTAATGCGTAAAGGTCATTGACGGAAACATTTTTCAAAATATGTCATACACAATACACAACGTAGCTTTAAACATTTACTTATCGACAGATATACGGGAAAGAACCAATCAGTGTGCCTCCCGTCATTGTGTAAATCCCTCTGTCGATTAGTCAATTGCACCATCACCAAGTTGATTGGCTGGAACATTGTATGCAAGACATAAGGCAAGTTGATTAGAAAGGTTTCTGAGTTAGGGGTACTGAAAAACGCAGATTCATATTTGTGCAGCCAACACTTACAGTGTCGGATAGCCATGACCCTGGTTTGAGCGTGCGCATGTCACGCCGGGTGCCAACTTCACATGCCCGTCCATGAAGATTCATGGAAACAACAATGTCCCTACAAGCAAAAATGATCCTTCGAACGATAGTTATTTCACAGTGGACTGTCATTTAAAATTTGCAAGTAGTAAATGAAACAATACATTTCATTTTTGCTATCGTCAAATACATAGTGAAGAAGTTTTTGTTCCTCCGCCGATAACAACCCTTCGCTGTCCAACATCGTCAACGAGTCCTACAAAAATAAACAGCCAACTAACAGTACACATTTCATAAAAATATTGAAGCTTACATTACAAGGTCGGTAGTCATAAAAAAGAACGTGAAATGATGTAAAAACTGTGAGCCCCAGAGTTTTCCCAACTTGTGATGTTTGGTGCGGAGTTTGTTAGAAATGTGTACTAACATATGGCAGCAGTCATAACTGCAAACATGCAATTCTTTGACAACTAGTACAATACAACACAGATGATTGTAAAATTACTGATTCACATTATTGATGTGGGCATGAATTGGGTATTCACAACTTGTGGGGCATTAAAGGCAGTATTTGTACCTTGTTCACGTTGTCCACACCATCAACATCCACAGGTGAACTGCTGTCGTCAACTCCACTATTTGTTTTGCTATCGATGCACAATTGCATATCCCCGACCTCAGTGGCTTGAACTCCACTTCCGCGCATTTTTCCTTTTCCTTTTCCTTTTCGTCTTCCCTTTGCACTTCTTCTAACGATTCCAGTTGCTCCCAATGGTTTGCCAAGCTTAGTAGGAGAAGTATGCACATCGCACGCCACGTTCTTCACGCCCACTGACTGAAGGTCAGGACTGTATTTATCTTCAGTTTCATATGTTTCCCCTGACTGAAGGCCTTCCTTCTTGTTGTTGTCCCCACCTTCTTTGATGTTCAGCTTGTGCCCATCATGCAAATGACTTTTGTCCCTTGCCAAGGTTCCCTTCAAAATATGTTGTTGGTGATCCACCCCTTGTACATCTGAAATATTACACTCCATTGGGTTAACTTCGTCCGATGGTTTGACCACGCCATCCTCATGCGCCTCGACTCCAACAGCAGGGTCCACACCCTGTTTGGCCACGCCTGCCGGTTGCGGTGTAGAGAATATACCTTCGATGAGGTGGTGTAGCATTTGCTTCAGTTCACGTAAATTGGTTTGTTCAGTGAACGGTTCGTTGCAGCCCAAACTGAAACGTTGAAGCAGTTGCTTCAGCATTTCCTTCAGTTGAGCAACATTGGAGAAGAGGTTAATGATGCACACATCATTGCCTTTCACCTAATCATACATACACATTCGTGAACTTAATCTTACAAACCATCTTCAAATGATGTGGCTTAACTGTGTGAAAATTGCGTAATGCTTGGATGGATTACCTTGTCATTGCCAACAACTTGCTTGCCTTTGAAATGTCGCAACATCTCTATTAAATCTGTTTGGTTGTGGAGAACTTGCTTCATCATTTCCTTCAGTTCGCGAATGTCGGACTCCAAATTGCTCATACGGACTTCATTGTACTGTCCTGTTTGTTGGTTCTCGACATGGCATGCATCCATGTCAACATCATTGGCGTTACTGTAATCAAACTCCACCTAATCATAGAAACGCATAAATGAAGTCTGACATTGTATGTTGAAGACAAGTGGGTCGATGGTGTGAAATGTGCACAGTGGTAGGAGTGCTTACCGCAATTGTTAGGAAATTTTGCTTCCTTCTGATACGTCGCAGCGTCTCCCGTATTTGGGTATCACCCCAATCATGAAGCCGAGGTGTGGACCGCGTCGTAGTCGAGCTCAGACAAACACAATCAAGGTACAACAACTGTGGACATTAAGGGGCACACCATAATTAAGTTGTTCTTCCCACAAAAATGAACTATATTCAGTAACAATGACATTCATTGTTCTCAATTTTGCAGTGGAACGTACATAGCATACCGATTTTGTTGAGGATGCTGTCAACTTTATAGGTACATATCATGCAATGTTTTTTGGGGAAAAAAATGTACAGCACACCAAGGACTTTATTAATGAAAGCAAGAAAAAAAAATTTATGTACATGTTCCCCTCTTCGCAACGTAGTTTTAATTGGTTCCTCCATTGAGGTTCGGCATACTTTTTGCCCTGTACTCTTTGTTCTTAAATTCATGACGGTAGTCACACAAAATATATTTCTGCAAGTACCATACTTGGTCAGGAAGAGTGTTGTTTGTCGTACTCACAAAGCAGGTACCATTGTATGTCCCAATCAAGGCCAATTTGTTGAACCATGACAGAACAATGCATGAAACACATGAAGGGGGGAATGGAAAAAAAAATCAAGTTATTGGCATACCATTAGCAGGAAAACACATCCAGTTGCACCGCGATGACCTTTATACTTGCGAACACCGTTGTGAAGGAATTGCAGTGTCAACTTTACCCAATTACAAGCTCGCATACGATTCACGTCCTTCACAGCATGAATGAATGATGGCTTCAACCTGTTCATTGTGGTAGGACACAACATGGCCCCCAACACGTACAGCGCAAATTTCCGCCGAAACTCGTCCTCCGCACCAGCAGTCTCGGTCAGATAAAGTCTCAACTTGTTCAAAGGAATGACTCCGTTAACAACTCCAACCTCATCGTAGATATTGGGATATGCTTCCAATGACCCAGCCAACTGCACGTCATCGCCATCACACCGTATTCCCAATAAAACATTAACTGCCTTACACGTGAGCCTGACTTGACAACCATGAACATTCAATGAACTACTGTCAGGATCGAAGTTCTGTACCAACCATGCGCACAAGTCGTGATCTATACGTGTACACTTCATCCCCAGGAGGCCAGCAAACCCAATGTCAATGACTGCCTGCTTTTGTGCTTCGTTGAACCAGTTAACTAGCTCAACAATTGACTTCAATGATATGCGGAGTTGCCTTTTACCCTGCACATTTTTTACCCTTAAATTAATACAAAAATACAACCAACAATGTCAGCAAAGCAGGACCTAGCCAAATGCATTTACGAAAACATGAAGTACGTAATGACCTTTTCAGACTTCGGTGCACATGGTACTACTTTGGCGTGTTCCTCAACGCTCGCCTTAGCCATTTCCGCAAACCTTTTTTTCTCATCAGAGGGGAATGCCTTCCACCTTTCCCCAATCTCCTTTCTAGTCTTTAACCAAAAAAATGACAGACGTACAAGACAAGTAACAACTATGAGTCCAAAATTACTGTAACTACAACTTTATGCCAAACGCAATCCGCGTGCATTGTTGGTAATTAAATAAGATTGCAAATACAAATAACAGTTGCAGCAAAAAGTCAGCGACAAAACGTAGCTGGACTTTTACAACGAATTGAAATTTACAAAAACAATAGGAAGGTGACATTATTACATGCTACAATCCTACAAACGCGAAACAATCAGAAGCCCACTACGACCATTCAATACAACATGTGGATAGCAACCCAGCAATGTGTTTCCATCATAGTGTATTATAGAGAATACAGATTTCGACACTCACCATTTTTCGTCGAGTGTTGTCTGGCCCTTGCATTTCCTTGAATTGTTGTTGGCTGCATGCAAGCATCGTGAAGTTTATCATCACTAAATGTGAAATATGAATACATATATATATATATATGCAAGTTTTTATGTCAAGCTGGCCCCGAAATCGGCATAAGACAGCTTTCGTACATCCGGGACTGAATCGACACCAATTTAAACATTTTCAGACATGCGGAACAAAACCAATTTGAAACATCACAAACTGAACTTCAACAAGGCGCATAATTTCAGTACGAAAAATGTAATTCCAGATTGTCAAAATAAACAACTAGTACCTGTAACAAATGAATGGTGCAACTGGCCGCTTTCGACAAGAGCCAGCGATAGTGTCAGACATTTGGATATGTTGTTCGGCAATTGTCTTCAATCTTTTCCTTCCCCTTATGAAAGAGCAAATCATACAAATTAGATTGAAGGGAAAATTACAGGGGTGGTGTACACATTTTGTTCGTTGTCTAATTTGGATCGACGCACTTTAAACTACCTAAATTGTGACAGTCCATTTCAAATTTCGTGGACATTTTCGGTCAAATTGCTAATGCCGTTTGTGATTTTTAAAACAAAGATTGTAATGTCAATTGATTGAGATTATGTAAGTTCAGTAAAGTTATAAGTTGACTATAACAAAAAGTACAGTTGCCACGTATATGCATATTTTCTGATACAAAACAGTGAAGAGTTGTAATCAAATGGACGTAATTGAAACAAAAGTTCAAAATTGATGCTGCAAAGCGAGGCCATTCAAAATTTCTACAAAACAAATAACACAAACACAAAAGTACACGGGCTGCTGTAAGAATTGATCCGGAAAAAGATCAGTGTATTCCTTGGTGATGGATTTCGTTTGTTTACAAACATATGTACGAAACCAACTGGTAGCAAGTCTTTAAGAAGAAAACTAACATTGTTGGTGCGAGGTGACCAATATCCATCAGATGCAATGACGACAACTCCTGCAAAGTATTTCAATCAATATTTACAAGAACACAAACAAACGGCTGCATCATGTGGCTGTTAACCTCAAAATTTTGCGTAAACATAGACAACAACACGCAGAATTTCCCAACACATATACGGATTTTGAAACAGACAAAAGAAAGGACACACATCAAAATTTTGCATTTCGTTCACACAGCTTACAATTAAAATAATTATGTGTACAAGCGATAAATGCATAATTTCCCAAATATTGAAGAGGAAGGACTACATTATATTTTTCATTTAGGGCTGAAGGGCTACACGCACATACTTTTATGAAGGCCCGATTACAAAGGACAAAGAAGCAACTGAACTATTTCATGACGGGGTTAAACAATCAGGACACGATTCTGTTGTCAGAGAAATTGGTGCTCATCCCAGGCACAAAAACCAGATAAAACCCCATCCATCAAGTTGAGGGCTTCAATTTCCTACTGAGCAACTTGGTTGCAGAGAATCGAGGTGGCTGCATCCTAGCCCATGCTCCATTACCTTCGGGTGGTCAGACAGTAGGCAGATTAGAGAAGAATACTTTTTCGGGCGTACAAGCAAGTTTCATCAATTGTATGTCACAATGAAACAAGCAAGGAAATTAAAGCCCTCAACTTGATGGCTGGCCTTTCCAACAACTTAAGCGGCCGGAGATGATGGGTGAAAACCAATACCTTCTCCCCACCTGACTCGGACAAGCCTAACAGATTAAGGAAGAAGTTTGCCTTCAGTCCTTCTCTAATATCCAACTTTTCTAAGATGTGGTCCATCTGGGCATCGTCAATGCCCTCTGTTTCTGTGGTTGACGTGTCTGTAGGTGAACTCTTTAGGAGGGATCTCAACTATGCGTGCACATACAGTGTGCTCCCATCCCAGGTGATGTTCAACTTCTTAACTACGTTGTTCAGTTCTTCAACTTCACGAACTGTCGTAAGGGTGAGATGAAGAAATTCAGAAAAGTCAACAAGCCCAGGCAATTCACGAAGAAAATCTCATTCGTAGAAATGGACAACCTTGCCTGCCATTGCACGCAACTTTTGAATGACGGTTACCTTTGTTTTGAAGTTATCATCTTGCATATATATACAGCAGTTACATTTGAAGAGGAAGATAGCTGTCATTCATGAGTTGCGGGCTGTCTGGACTTTATTGAGCGAGTTCATGAAATGCGTACTCTTATTTGTCCTTTTTTATGACCTTCGTGCAGAATGAGAATGGATGGATACGTTACTAATATTTGTTGGCAGGCAGTGGCAGTCTTGCTTGTTTCATTGTCACATACAATTGATGAAACTTGTTTGTACGCCCGGAAAAGTATTCTTCTCTGATCTGCCCACTGTCTGAGCACCCGAAGGTAATGGAGCATGGGCCAGGATGCAGCCACCTCGATTCTCTGCAACCAAGTTGCTCAGTAGGAAATTGAAGCCCTCAACTTAATGGCTGGCCTTTCCAACAACTTAAGCGGCCGGAGACGATGGCTGAAAACCAATACCTTCTCCCCACTTGATTCACACAAGCCTAACAAATTAAAGAAGAAGTTTGCCTTCAGTCAAAAATAAGATGGACTATGTAGTGTATCTATGGTAAACAAATGCAAAAAAAAAAACCCTCTCCTACTCCATGATTGTTTTTTGGTTAAAAAGGCAAAACCAATATATATAAATAATAAACACAACAAAACCAGAAAATACAATAGAAAAACCAAAAGGTAGAAACAGGAAGGAGAGGCAATTCAGGTTTAAATCATCTCCATAAAATAAACAACCTGGGTAACATATGTTGCCTGGGCTTGTTGACTTTTCTGAATTTCTTCACCTCACCCTTACGACAGTTCGTGAAGTTGAAGAACTGAACAACGTAGTTAAGAAGTTGAACATCACCTGGGATGGGAGCCCACTGTATGTGCACGCACAGTTGAGATCCCTCCTAAAGAGTTCACCTACAGACACGTCAACCACAGAAACAGAGGGCATTGACGATGCCCGGATGGACCACATCTTAGAAAAGTTGGATATTAGAGAAGGACTGAAGGCAAACTTCTTCCTTAATTTGTTAGGCTTGTCCGAGTCAGGTAGGGAGAAGGTATTGGTTTTCACCCATCGTCTCCGGCCGCTTAAGTTGTTGGCAAGGCCAGCCATCAAGTTGAGGGCTTCAATTTCCTACTGAGCAACTTGGTTGCAGAGAATCGAGGTGGCTGCATCCTGGCCCATGCTCCATTACCTTCGGGTGCTCAGACAGTGGGCAGATCAGAGAAGAATACTTTTCCGGGCGTACAAACAAGTTTCACCAATTGTATGTGACAATGAAACAACCAAGACTGCCACTGCCTGCCAACAAATATTACTAACGTACCCATCCATTCTCATTCTGCACGAAGGTCATAAAAAAGACAAATGAGAGTACACATTCATGAACTCGCTCAATAAAGTCCAGACAGCCCGCAACTCATGAATGACAGCTACCTTCCTCTTCAAATGTAACTGCTGTATATATATACAAGATGATAACTTCAAGAGAAAGGTAACCATCATTCAAAAGCGTGCAATGACAGGCAAGGTTGTCCATTTCTACAAATGAGATTTTCTTCGTGAATTGCCTGGGCTTGTTGACTTTTCTGAATTTCTTCACCTCACTCTTACGACAGTTCATGAAGTTGAAGAACTGAACAACTTCGTTAAGCAGTTGAACATCACCTGGGATAGGAGCACACTGTATGTGCACACACAGTTGAGATCCCTCCTAAAGAGTTCACCTACAGACACGTCAACCACATAAACAGAGGGCATTGACGATGCCCGGATGGACCACATCTTAGAAAAGTTGGATATTAGAGAAGGACTGAAGGCAAACTTCTTCCTTAATCTGTTTGGGTTGTCCGACTCAGGTGGGGAGAAGGTATTGGTTTTCAACCATCGTCTCCGGCCGCTTAAGTTGTTGGAAAGGCTAGCCATGAAAGTGAACGCTTCAACTCTTGATTCAGAATTGGGTGTGGGAACGAATAGCTCTCTACAAAATTTGGAAATCGTCATCCTCATTTCAACTCTTTCAATTGGCTTTCCTCTCTTTCAATTGGCTTTCCTATGTTTTAAGTTGAATACCGTCAACTATGCATGAACTTCAGCACTGAAAGAAAGAGTTGTTTACTGTGTTACACAGACTCGGGTATGGGTGTCGGGTGCGGTATGTATGTACAGGTCCGACTCATTAAATCTTAACCCTACATTCAATGGTACACGGTGTGGGAAAAAAATATCATATTTTTAATCTAATATGTGACATAAAATGGTACTATATGTAACTCACGGTGTCAAAATCACATTTATAGTAATTTCACAATAATTTGCACATATAATAATTGTGTTTTATACAATTATATAAGAAGTATCCGTTGAAAAGTATCCGACACATATCTCATACCCTTGTCCGACTCTCAAGTGTCCAACACAGGTATTTGATCTATTTTGAAGAGTCCGTGTACCACAGATTGTTTCTAAACATAAGTTCCGGCAATATAAAATCACCGAGTACTACAAAATTGAAAGCAGAATTCAACCGAGTGTGCTACCTGTTGCGGAAACAAGATTAGTCATTGTTTGTTTATCAAATTTCTTATTTTTGCTTTTTTGGCTACTCGAAAAAAAAAAATTGTTTTTCCCGTGCCAACATTACACAAATTTTTTTTAAAGTCTTCTTTCGTTATATATAACCCAACCTAACAAGTTCGCCATGTAAATGCAGAACACCTTTTATGCTTGTTGCTAACTACTGTGATACCTATGTTCAACTTGCAGCACTGATAGCAAAGGGAAGACTTCCTATTCGAAAGGGAGAAAATACAAAAATCGAGTACAGAACAGTTCCTATTGGATCCATTTCGGTTAGCAGAGGGAAGAGTTCCTATTTGAATAGCACAAAATACGAAAATGGAGTACAGAACAGTTCCTGTTGGGTCGATTTCAGGTTGGGTGTGAAGGTATACGCGAATGATAGAAGACAAACAAGGAGACAGATAATGTACCAGCACGAAATAAAGGAAATACCAACCGGATCAGACGAACCGACGGTGGTGCTCGATTAACCCTTGTTCTCTGTAAAACCCTACAGCTACGGGGAAATGGAACAACGGAGAGACGGGCAGAGAGAAAGACAAACAAAGAGAGAGGTCCGAGATGGAAGAGAGACGGACGGGCCAACGGAACTTACACCTCTTCTAAACACTTCGGCATTTTTGAAACTTTTATACTTGTTCTGACAACTTACACCTTTTAATGAAAACTGACATCATTTATAAATTAATTTTCTTCATAAAAGTTATACCTTGGAACTTTATATCTTTACATTAATTTTCTTAATAAAAGTTACACCTTGGATCTTTTCTAAAAACGAAACATTCAGCTTTATTGGGATTGGTCTTCTTTGGGAACTTATATCTTTTGTAAAAACGAAACATTCAGCTTCGATGATTGGTCTTCTTTGGGAACTTGTACCTTTTGTAAAAACTCACAAAGTTTACAACTATTCCTAAATTTTACACCTTTCCTAAAAATTTACACCTTCTCTCGGAAATATTTACAACTTCTTGAAAAATTACACATTTTGTGGAAAAACCTTTTTCATAAAATTTACACTTATTATTTCAAGTTACACTTTTAGTGAAAAACAAAACTTACATCTTTTCTATGGTCATTTACACCTTCTTCGGACAAACATATACCATATTTGAAAAGGTTATACCTTTTGTCAAATAATTTCTTTTAACAAATTTTATCAAAAGTTTATTTTCCATAAAACGTGTAAATTTTCAAAAAAGGTCTAACTGTCTTCACCAAAGATGTAACTCCTATTTAAAAGGTGTAAAATTTTTTAAACATGTTTGCTTCACAAAAGGAGTAACCTTTTAGAAGAGGTGTAAGCTTTTAAAATAAGGTGTAAACTTGTTGACAACATATTTTCCATAGAAGGTGTAAATTTTTTAAAAAGGTGTAAG